TTCATGAAATGAAACACTTCATCTCATAGAATCATCATACATGACTACTCCAATTTCTATCTATATGTTTTAACTTCCACTATTTTTCATCCAAATCACGCGTTAACGATCCACGTCACATGTAGACATGAAGGATTAGAAATATCACAATTCTTACAATAGTACCTGATTTACACATAAGAGTACCACATTGTCTTATACTTAGTACCTGTTTTCAGTCGATCAGTACCTACTTTTGTGAAGGGTAATTAATTTTTTCAACTGTGGTTAACATTTTAAAAAAGTAGTACCAGACTTAGAGTATGGTAGTACCAACTTTTCCTTGTATTCGTACCAGTTTTGATGTCTTTAGTACCACTTGTACTGAACACATAGGAACACCGAATATCGGTCGAAAATGATGTTTATACGACCCATAATCACTCTCACACTAGTTTATATGAGATTTAAAATTTGGTTAATTAACTTTAATCTCAAATTGGTCACGAACTCAGTACACTAATTGAAAAACAATACTAAATACACTTTTGGTACCGGTTTTCATTACAATAGTACCTGTTATTATTCTACGCAGTACCTGCTACTGATAAATTAGTACCTACTTTTGGTCAACCAAGATGGAATATTTCAACTGTGGTCAACATTTAAAAAAAGTTGTACCATTCATATTGTAAGGTAGTACCTATTTATGAGTATTTAGGACCACATATGGAGTCTTTAGTACCACTTGTAGTGAACACATAGAAACACCGAATTTATTATGTCCTACTTAACCTCCTTGGCTTATAAAAAATTACATTGTACATCTTGACTTAATAAATTTAATTAATAGAATTTTAAATCTCATATAAACTAACGTGAGAGTGATTATGGGTCGTATAAACATCATTTGCGATCGAATTTCGGTGTTTTTATGTGTTCATATAAGTGGTACTAGTGACCAGATATCTGATACTATAATAACATAAAACAGGTACTCTATTACTCTATGACTAGTACTGATTTTGAAAATGTTGACCTGAAGTAACCCTTTTTTTATTATTTCTACAAAACAGGTACTAATTTATCAATAACTGGTTCTGAGTAGAAGAACAAGTGGTACTAATTCATCAATAACTGGTACCAATTGATCAAAAGACATACAAAATACCAAATACAACTGACAAAATACAAAATACACCTGGGCAACAACAAAATACACTTGGGCAACTGCCCAAAAAAAAATTACACATGCCCAAAAAACAAAAAAAAAAAANATAGTACCTTGATAAGCTTGACTATACATCCCAACCTGATAATATGGATCACAAAAATCATAGATGGACATTGACTTACTCTCAACACAAGCACATGCATGGCGACATGGCATCTTAGATAATTGCCATTCTCTACAAGAACAAGTGCGAGTTTGCAAATCCATGTCACAACTTTTGTCCGCATCAACAACCTCAAACCTCCATTCACTAGATTGCATGATTTGGAGACTCCGAGAAGCATTGTAGCGGGATGAAATTATTTTTTCGAGCTCCGGACACAACGGGCCATTAAACCGTGACCCTCCTTCACGTCGATCGTGCATCATGGTCATAATTTGCTTCCGTATGTGATCGACCATGGTTACGATAGGCATAAATCGTGCCGCCCTCACCCAATTATTCCAACATTCGGCTTGATTATTATTCATGATCCCCCAACGGTCTCCGTTAAATAAGGAATTCGCCCAACAACTTGGGTTAGAATACTGAAGGAACTTTAGAGCAAGAGGCATATGAGTCAATATATTATTTATATGCATATCAAATTCTTGCCTCGTAGGAGCATACGCAGCTTTCTTAAAAATCGAGGACCAATGTTTCTTATTTTTAAGTGGGTAGCTCTTCAAAACCTACAAAAAATAATAATAATAATAATAATGAAACCTGCTTTATAATGAAAATAAACATAATTTGTAAAAATAAAAAAACTAACAGAATGTATAAACAAAATGTACATAGCATGATAATGATGATAATGACAACATAGCACTAATGAAATAAACGTAATTTATAATGCAAACAATGATAAACAAAATGTTAAGGAATGATGGTTTATACACTTACTCATGGTCAACAAAAAAAAAAAAGGTACCAAACAATAAACCACACTCATTAAGTTTTTTACCTGGTTCTTAAAGTTGTCGACTAAGTGTCGCAAACAATAAACATGATGGCTGCCAGGAAAGACCATAGGGATGGCTTTAAGAAGCCCGCTGTGTTGGTCCGTAAAAAACGTGAAGCTTCTAGGAACAGGTAAGCCCGAGGTAAGAAGAGTATTATTCAGCTTCACGCAAAACCACTCCCAATTTTCATCGGTCTCGGTATCAACCACAGCATATGCTAAAGTGAACAAATCATCATTGGCATCCTTACTCACAGCACTAAGCAAAATGCCTTTGAATTTATTTTTTATGTGAGTGCCATCCAAAAATATCAACGGGCGACAACCGGTTATAAAACCAACAAGACAAACATGAAAGCAAATGAACAATCGGCGGACTTATTCTGGACAGGGTCAAGCTCACAATCCACAATGCTTCCCGGGTTTGTCTCACGCACTTTAGTACAATACCAACTCAATTTATCATAAGAGCCCTTGTCTGCTCCATGAATATCTTGCATGGCAATATCCTTCCCTTACCATGCCTTTCTATAAGACAACTCCAAGCCATAATCCCTATGAAGATATTTCAATATCATGCATGGCCTGTAGCTCGGTTCATCTCTCAATTTTTTCTTAATTGCATTCAAGACCCAATGAGAGTCTGCTTTCGGATGCCCCCTTGTCCGAAGATTGGACACTCCACTGGTATGGACTAAATTGCTCTTCCGGATGGATGGCAAATACCTGATCACCTTTGTATTTTGAGACATATATTCTCCATTGACAACCCTCATCAGTACAACAAACAATGACTGTTGATCATTTTTTCGGTACTTGAAAGAACGCCTATTCGCAATTGCGTAGTTTTTAACAACCTTCTGAAATTCATCCACACCGCCACTGAACATCTGCCCCTCTCCTTTGATGAAGAATCTCCAAGAATCAATCAATTTATCTTGCACTACCAACTCCGATTTTCCTTCCCGTAACATTTCCCTGCGTTCATGATAAAATAATACAAACTTTTATAAATAATGGAACTAGTTAAGAAATTAATGAATTTGGATATGATGATACAAATACACCATACATCAATAATAATTTCATTAATATTATGAAAGCAACATTACCCGCTCATGTTCATCGGCATAGATTGAACTCCATCATCCCGTCTTTCATTTCTTCCAATGTCCGGGCTTTCATTTCTTTCAATGGAAACTAACTCCACAATATTTACTTTCCAACAAAGATGTAACCGAATCATATTTTTTACATCCTCATCATTGGATAAACTAATTCTCTTTTTCTCCTTTGGCGCAATATAGTTTAACATGACGGTTTCCAAACTAACAATTGGCCACCTCTTACCAATGAGAGTGTACACGTCATCAAGAGTTGATTCAAGGTTCAGAGAGAACACATACATTTCATCTTTGTATGTACAACTCCCTAATATATCATTTTATGCCCCTTCCATGTATCTAACAATAATTGGATTAAAAAAAAAAAACAAGTTCACATTTCCCAGCACATATGGTACCAACAGTGAGCAAACTGGTACTATATATCCAAACAGAGGTACACACAATCATGAATAGTTGTACTATGATTATTCTCATCTTATTTTTTTGTTTTATGGTCAATAACACCTAACAAAACCTAACAATAGCATAAATTTAGTATACATGAACAAAAAAAAAGGTTTATGATCACTTTATTTGTTTTAGGATAAATATAAATAACAATGTTCAAAATTCAATCCTTCACAAATCAAACAAAAATATATGAATTAAACGTGATTTTTGGACTCCAAACTTCTCATATAATACATACATTACTTACTACTTCAAGTTTTCGCCGGAAAAAGTCACAATCTTGCTGGAAAAATAAGAATTTCGGACAGAGAGATAGGAATTTTTGTGCCTCTTCCATGTATCTAACAATAATTGGATTAGAAAAAGAAAATGTTCACATTTCCCAGCACAGATGGTACCAACAGTGGGCAAACTGGTACTATATATCCAAACAGAGGTACAACACAATCATGAATAGTGGTACTATGATTATTCTCATCTTATTTTTTTGTTTTATGGTCAATAACACCTAACATAACCTAACAATAACATCAATTTAGTATACATGAACAAAAAAAGGATTATGATCACTTTATTTGTTTTAGGGTAAATATAAACAACAATATTCAAAATTCAATCCTTCACAAATCAAACAAAAATATATGAATTAAAGATGATTTTTGGACTCCAGAGTTCTCATATAATACATATATTACTTATTACTTCAAGTTTTCGCCGGAAAAAGCCACAATGTTGCCGGAAAAAAAAAAGGAATTTTCGGACAGAGAACTAGACTTTTGGCCGGAAAAAGCCTCGATGTCGCCGGAATTGTTGCCTCCGGTGTTCTTCTTGCCGAATTTCGTGTCGCCGGTGAGATGAAGCTGCAAAAGAAAACAAAAAAAAAGGGCCGACGGCGAGAAGATGAAGAAAAAAAAGGACGGAAACGGGAGGAGATAAGTGGGGAAGAAGCAACATAAAATCAGATTTTTAGGTAAAGAAAAATAGTAAAATAATGTGTAAGTTGGGATGAGTCACAAATTAATTTCTTTGTTATTTATTTTAATAGGAGGGATTTAAATAGAAAATAAATATAGGGGTAGGGAGTAAAATAGATAAAAATCATAAGGAGAGACTGACTTGGAAGTTGATTTAGAGATTGAGAATTTTTAAAGAAAGCTCCCAAATTTTTTAGGTTACAAGAATCAAATTATAGTATAGTACGTTGCAAATAATTATTTATTCATGGATTAATTAAACTACTATAAAAAAAATATTATTAAAAAAGAAACTAAAAGCATGCTGATAATGCTTGTCTGTCACTAAAGCCCGCACTTGCACACTTACTGCGTGTAGGAATCCGCCATGGGAGAAGACAACAATCAGAACTCCCAAGGTTTACAGGAAACCGGGGAGGACGGGGACTCGGAACCGGTGAAAGGAAAAAGAGGGGAATCTCGAGATGAAAAAATGGCGAATAACTGTGATAAGGAGCGAGTGAGTAGTGAAAGCAGGAGTGGTTGTGCCGTTGGGAACAGTTCAAGAAACGAATCAAAAGCATCTGAATTGGAAACCCTAACGTCCGTACAGCTGTCTCAGGCTGCTTTAGCTGATTTTGATGAATCCTCTCACCGTTTGTCAGGTAGCTTTCCATCCTTCGTGCGGCGTTGTTNTTTGTAGCGTTTCAGTTGTGCAGGGCCGAAATTAATTAAATTATATAAATGCGAATAAATCACTCATGTATAGTTTTTAAATATGCATATCGCATATTTATCTACAGTAAAGAGATCTTTTTTTTTCAAAAAAAAAAATAATAATAAGATATGATTTTGTTGAATTTTATATTGTTGCAGAGGTTCCAGTGGAGTACTCTCTCCAACCGATACAATCAGATGAAAAATTGAAGGTCGGGAATTAACTTGTATACACATTTTTTTTTATTTTTTGGATTTTACTTGGGTTGATCTTAGTTCTTAATATCACTGTAATGCTGGAAAGATGAAAATGGTCCAACCCTTTTATGTTATCAACTTTGTCTTGTGGTTGACCTGTTGTGAAACTGGATTTCATTTGGTAGCACTGTTGTTTCTTAATATTACTCTATGGAAATGAAATTGGAATTCTTAGACTTACGTTTGATAAAAGAATAAAACCAAATTTTATTTTCTGATTTCTCATTGTCAAAACTATAATGGAGTAGTTTATCCATTTTCATGAAGCCAAATTGAAGAAAGACAATGTTCTTTTAGTACCACAAGGATTTTCAACTTTAGAACATAAATCGACAGCCAAGATTCATGGTACGTCGTCGTTAATGGGACGTCTTGTATATCATTTGCAATTGTTCAAAAACCAAATTCAGGCATGTATTGAAAAGTAAAATATGCATGAATGAAAACAGAAGTAAATTGATGAATCATATGTTCAGTCTTCGTGTAATCAATTTCCACAGCAATTGTGTTCACTACACACCTGCTTATGTGAAATCCGATAAAGTTTTCACATTTTTGTGGAACTTACCCTGCTGTTATTATGCTTTTGGAGTAACAAAATTAATCATGTATCTCTGATAATATCATTTCAACTTGGTATTGTCGTCCCCTGAATCTAGTTTATTATTACCTCAGGAACAAGCAAAAGCAGTGCACGATAAATCTCTTGAAAGTGTTACTGGTATACCTTCAGAGGTTCAGAAATCAGTACCTAATGCTCCTTCAGTGTCACCTGAATCTTTTGTTAAGTCTGTTTCCTCTATTCCGAATTTGCTTCTGGTAAAGGATGGGAACCACACTAGCATTTCAGAAGGGGATAAGCTGAACTCTCCGAATTCCAAAATTTTATCTAATAGGACTGTGCTGAAAACTTCTGATGGGTACAATTGGCGCAAATATGGTCAGAAGCAAGTGAAGAGTCCGGAAGGTTCGCGTAGCTATTACCGATGCACGTTCTCCGACTGTTATGCCAAGAAGATTGAGTGTTGTGATCCTTCTAACCGTCTCATAGAGACAGTTTACAGAAGCCACCACAATCACGATTCTCCTCAGAAACTAAATTGCGCGAAAGAAAGTTTGCCAGCATTACCTGTTGTTCCCTTTAGTGGGGACAATGATTCTTTTCGTCCAGTGATATGTTTGAATGATACAGTAAAAGATAATAAGTTAAAACAATCTATACCTCGACCACAGAAGTCAAGTGATTCTGATGAGACCACAGAAGTCAATATGGAGGAGTATGTTGATGGAGCAGAATGTAGAAAAAGGCACGTCACTAGTTATGCTAATGGTTAACCATTTTTGCAATTGTGATATTTCCGTATTGGAGCGCTGTACGTATATTTCTAATATTTTTAATCTTTAAAAAGGCAAAAGAGAAATTCTTCTGGTGATCTGGAGTCCGTGCCTAAATCTGGAACTGGAAGGAAGCCCAAATATGTTGTTCATGCAGCTGGTGATGTTGGAATATCAGGAGATGGTTACAGATGGCGCAAGTATGGACAGAAAATGGTGAAGGGTAATCCTCATCCAAGGTAATTCCCAGTGTTACGTGTTACCAGTCAATGCTAACTCATTAGTTAACTTGAGTTTGTTAAATCCATTGCTCTGATTTGACTGTGCTTGTTTAGGAGCCCCCCAAAAGGTTACTTTTTATCACATAACTATGGTCTTGCAACTCTAAATGGCCATTACTTACTGCTTAGCAGCCTATCCAGCTTCCATCAGTGTGTATCTGTATGTGGTTCTCTTCTGAATTGTATTTTTCTGTAATTATAGACTGGTCGATGTTTATGTGAGGATATATGACCTGATGCCCAAGTTTTTGCATTGGTTGCTAATTACATCACTTGCCATTCATATCCAATAGCCCTGAAAACAAAGTGAAACAAGAGAAAGAAGGAAATGAAAATCATGCTTGCACATATCCATAAACATGCATATTTGTTTTTATTTCTTTGTTGGTGCCTATGAGAAGGCTCTTAAGAGTGGTTATCATATTATATTTTTGACTGCATCAATTTAATTCTAAATAGGAAACCAAAAATGGGTTTAAGTTGATAAGGATTCTCAGTTGTAACAAGCTAAAGGAGTCATGGGCGATACTATACAAAGCTTTTATTTTCTGACATCGCTGTAATAAACAATAAATTACAAATTGATCGCCTAGAATGAAGAATGAAAAGAATCAAATTGAGAAAGCATCATTGTTGCTGCCAAATTGGAGGAAGCTTTTCTCTTATATTGAAATCAGAAGCCCTGAATATGTCCAGGGTTTCTTCATGGATTGAAGTGATTTTTAACACCTTGAACAGGAAAAGATGTTAAAAATTGTATTATTCTTTATTTTAGGGGTTTTGGATTTTAAATTGTCAATCGTTGGACCGTTTGTATTTGACTTAGCCATGACTTTATTTTGAAAAGTTAAAATGTTGATTTTGGCTCGAGCATAGTTTTTTTTTTTTCAAATTCTGTTAACGCCACTTTAAAATGGAATATTCACCGTTTGAAAATCGGGGCGTTACACGAGGCACCTGCGGTTTTCGTGAAAGAGACATCCTCTTAAGTTGTAAGCTTTTCTGAAGAGAGGCTCAATTAGCTGCTGCTAATATTTTAGTAAGATAAGATATGAAAAAAATAAGAGGAATAAGACATCCAAATATTTTTAGCTTGGAGATGCTCAGAAACTGACAAGCTGCTAGACAGGTATAGATCATATGTGCATATATGATGGAATATTTTATGCACGGACAAGATTTGTGAGAACTTCTCCTAAATGAACACATCGCAAAATATCTACCAGAAAGAAACTACGTGCACAAAAGCTCAAATAAACACCAACACTTGAATGTTAATGTTCATACTTGCTTCAATCTTCTGGAAGTAAGTTCTATGCATGTAAAAATAAGTGAATCATGTTGTGGACAATATTAAGTTGCCACATTGCTCATTAATGGGTGACACTTCATACATTAGTTCCTTTGATCTATATAAACAAGTTGCAGCTAAACTTTGAACTTTGAACACCAGATGAAAGAATATAGTTTCATTTCATTAAAGTAATATATTTACTTATATCTATCCGTATAGGTTTCTAGATATAAGAAATAATATTCCTCTCTATTACCTAACAGAAATCTAATGTAGATTGGCGGCAGCCCGAACGAAATGATATGATAAGTGATTGGCAATAAACTGCCTCTTACTATGACATCCATATGGCTACGGGCCATCTCATATTTGCATTTTCTCTTGCTCTCTTTACTTGTAACACCCGAATATTTATGTACAGTATTTGATTCTCTTCAACTTCGAGATTATGGCTTAAGTTGCATGGGAGAATTTCGAATTACTACTGATCTCAAAATTTTCACCTTCTGTTGCATTCTTATTTAGAAAAGAAAAAAAAAAAAAAAAAAAGTGCTACTCTCACTTTTGTCATGTTGAACCTGTATGGCACATTTCATGTTGCTAAATTACAGTCTATAACTGAAAATGATTTCTTCAGAAGCACAGAGATGTCGAACTAAATTCTCAACATACAGATGGTTTTTCGGGAGAAGTGGTTTTTCAAGAGTCTACCATAATTATTAATTGTACCCACTTCAATGCGAATTTTGATTAATACTTTTATCCTTCAGCTGCGGCAATCATATGGGAAAGTTGTCATGCCATAATAATGGAAGATTTGAGGAGCCTAAGTGTTGATCACACTTTTAAATCACTTAAACCTCTAAAATAACATGTTTCCAGAATAGCTCTTTTTTTTTTGTCCTATTCTATTTATTTTAATCAGTCTGCATGCAAATTTTCACAGGAACTACTACAGATGCACCTCAGCTGGCTGTCCTGTTCGGAAGCACATCGAAGGAGCCATTGATAACACAAATGCTGTAGTAATAACATACAAGGGAGTGCACGATCACGACACACCATGTCCTAGAAAGCGCCCAAAGAGTAGTGTTATTGCTGATTCCCCTCTTATCTCAGACGATCTGCTGAACAAGGGAAACCAGTCGTCTAACGGTCAAACCAAGTGGTCGGTGGACAAAGAAGATGAATTGATGGGTGAGCCCCTCAACGTGGTTGGTGAGAAAGCATCTGAGCCGACGAGAACACTCGTGGGCATTGGGATTGAGGTCAAGCCTTGCTGAACTCAATTTATTCCCTACTATTTATCTTTTAGTTATTTGTTCAAACTATTTTTCCTTTTTGTTTTCTTTCTTTCTTTTTATTTTTTTGTTGTGATGTGATATTTAATTGTTGTAGTTTGAGGTTAGTTTTAGTTTGTATGGTACTTCTGTATCGAAAACCTTGTAACAATAATAAGAGTAGAAAAAGAAGGTTAAACACTTGATTGTAATGGTAGTTTGTAATGTGATTGGCTGTAACTATGAAATGAGCCATTTAACACTTGATTGTAATTGTAGTTTGTAATGAGATTGGCTGTGACTTGATATGAGCCATTTTTCATGTGATATAGCATGCCCAACTCGGTCTTGAACTGGGGCTCTCTGATGCGAACCGAACTTTTGAGTGTAATCAAATTGCGTGGATGATGGCGGGAGAAGTTGGATTTTCATGCAAATTAGATAGGATAAATTATGTTAGTTATATTTTAAAAATTAAATGTGTTGGTCAGGAAGGTTTAAATATTTAAATTTGAATGATGTTTGTAGTATTATAAATAGGATCTTTGTATGCATGTTTGAAAATCAGGTTTAAAGCAATAAAAATTAAGAAAGAAGCTCGTCTCCGAGTCATTTCTTCGTGAAAAACCGAGGCCGATAGTGCAGGCTTTTCATTTATTAATGTGTCAACCAAGGATGTCAGTGCGAGTTTACACATTTTATCATGTTCGAACCAAGGCTGTTAGCGCGGGTTCTTACACAAAATCGAGTCTCGATACACGATCTTCATCATTGGTGCTTTCATTGAGAGGGTCGATCGTGTATCTTTTTCATCTTTATCTTCCTCATTCTTTTTGTAGTTTGTTTTAAAAAAAATGATATATTTGTGTGGGGCTAGTTTAGCCGCAGCTTAAAAAAAAAAA